ACTCCTCGGAAGGAAGGTTGGGCAATCCTACTTCCGTAGTGATACTGCCTCGGAAACCCAAGGAGGGGTCGCTATGAGGCGGGGCCGACTCGACGGCACATAACAACAACAATCTTTACGGAAGGTGACTGCCACCTCTTTATCCCTCACAGAGGCTGGTAGGTTCTGCCAGCAGCGAGAACTTTAGTCACTGTGCCAGGAAGGCTTGCTGTATGCTCTACAGGGCTTTCATTTTGTTAAAATGGTAAAATATGCCGAAGCAGCATCAGAACAGTTTACGAGAACCGGCGCCAGGTAAAAACGCACGCTTTGTCGGAGGACGCAAAAAAGACGCGCCGGGAGAGGCGCGCGAGGAAGACGCCAATCCGCTTCCGGAAAGCGCCTAGCGCGTCGTGAGGGCACTTCCGCCTCACGTTCGCGTAGGCGCGCGGCGGCGGGAAGCCGCGCCTTGGCCGCCCACTTGGTCCACTTCGCCTGCCACGACGGCAGGAGCATGGCGGGCGCCGACTTGCGGGCAGAGCTGGAGCAGCAGCTTGACGCTTTGTCCATCCGCACAGAAGTCGTCGAGCACCCCGAGGTGAGGCGCCCCCGCCGCAGGGCGTTTCTTGGGTGGGCGCTGCTGCAGTGTCTGTCAGGAAAAGTCGCTAAGACTTTGTGTGCCAAGGGTAATGCACAATGTGAAGTCGGTTCTAGGGCATTTCCCGGGTTCCAGAGTAGGAAAGGGATGTGACAGGAACAGCACAGGGCCCTTGATTTGGGACTATGAAGTAATTGAGAGAAAACGCAATTACTTTTTTCTTTCTTGATTTGACTACATTGCATGTCGAGAACTAGTGCAACATGTGGAGAATTTAAATTGATCAGGGATATTGGTCAGTTGTCCACTAAATAAAATCAGTTATCAAGCTGTTGAGAATATTGGAGGAATATAGCTGCTTGTATGCAGGCACTGTACAAACAGCGTACCAGCAAGGACACCGAGGTTCAGAGAGTTTGGTACCTTGCCATCCTGGCCAGTTTGATCCCAAAGCCTATACCGACTTTTGCATCATGGACAAAGATAAGCACCACCCCCAAAAGTGATTACAGGGATGCACATCTCTTATTTTCATTAGTTTGATGTATTTTTAACAATGTACTGATGTGTAGACTTGCAAATACTTTGTTGAACTTGTGTTATTGAACAAATAATTTGAATTTGTGTAGGGACCTAAAGTTTACCCAAGGCTACTGATAATAGCCATTTATGTGAACTTTCTGTGCTAGGTGCATGGCATGTGTTTTATGTATACCGTTATTTCATGTAATCCAACATTTTTAAGTAGACACCATTTTTATTTTCTAGAAGAGAAGCTGAGGCTTATCTTAAATCTTAAATCCAAGGTCATACAGATGTTTTGTATCTAGGATTTAAACCTGTCTTTTTAATACCAAAGTCTTAACCTCCCACTGTTGTGCCCTCATGATAGCCTCAATTTCTCAGAAATAAGGCAGATATGCCAATATCTGACAGTTCTCCCAGTAAAAGTGCAAAGTACTATATATTTTGTCATTTACTACAGAACTCCACCTAAATGACAAATTATTAAAATATTCAGGCATTTCCTACAATAGATTGCAGAGTATTTAAAATTGATCGTTACGTAATAAAAATATATTGACCACCATCCATATGAGAGTTTACTGTAGGTCATAGATAACATACTCTGGTTGCTAACTAAGTACCGCCCTCCTTACTTGGTTTGATCAAGCGCTCTTCCCACTGCCTTCCTGTTACCTTTTCACTATGTTGCCCTTTCCTATGTATTCCTGCCTTCTGAGCTTTCTCCCTGTTCAAATGCTGCCCTTCTGATCTCCCGTGGTTGATTGAGTGCCCTTTTCTAGTGCAGTTGTCCACCTTGTAGGCCTGTCTCCACCGGCTCGAAGTTAAACTATGGGAGTGAGTTCACTTCCAGGCCTGAAGGGTGACTAGGGGCCATGGTCTCCACGGTTTCACTAATTTCTGTCAGATCACTGGGAGAACGATGATGACGACGACGAAACACACTGCCATTCAGTCGTACCCGACTCATAGCGACCCCTCTTTGGGTTTCTGAGGCAGTATCACTACAAAAGTAGATTGTCCGCCCAACTTTCCTCCTGAGGAGTGGGTGGTGGGTTTGAATCCCCAGCCTTCTGGTTAGCACTCAAATGCTTTAGGCACTATGCTACCAGAGCTCCTATCAGACCACTAAGCCTGGTCTTCATGATTTTGAATTTTGTTCCACATTTTTCACCCACTCTATCCAGGATCTCTAATTTTAATCTTTGAATGCTTTGCAGTCCCCATCTCCCTTCTTACTGTCTCAGATTTTCCTTACATTCATCCCATTTCATTCATATTTGCATGTCTCCTGTAAACATGAGTTAAACCTTCAATAGGTTTTTTAAACCAGTATGAAATTGTTTAGTTTTGCTTGTATCTTCTAATGTTGTCTTTGGTGACAGAACACTTTCCAGGGATATTTGACTACTAGAGTTATTTAATTTTGTTCATAGCGATTTTTTTTTTTTTTTAATTTTAATCTTTGGGGAACAAAAAGATCCCATATATAGAGGCCTAAGTCTTCCAGAATTGAAGGGCATCAGTAATTTTATTCGGAGCATTCAGTTGAGACAGTGTTTTTCTTTGCAAGTGAGACATACAGATGCTTATGAGTACACATTTGATACAAAACCTTGAATTAGATGTAGGGATTTTGATAGTATTCATCTGTGGTAGAAAGTTTTCTGGCTTACTCTTTGACAGGCTCTATGGAGTGTTTTTAAGGAACTGGAAAAATAAACTTGATTTTTACAGAGATGATTGGGTTAAAAGATTTGGCTTAACCAAAATCACTGCTTTAATGCTTGAAGATAATTTCTTCAATGTTTTTATTTACAAAAATGGATTTTAAAAAGGGGACCAGGTTTGCTGGTCTGATAGAGCCTGGTGAAACCGCTGACTCTATGGCCCCTAGCTGCCCTTCAGGTCTGGAACTGAACCTGTGGCTTCCAGCTAAACAAGACAGGCATATCAGTTGAACATTACACTCCTTGGAGAGAACAATCATGGGAGAAAGAAGGGCTGTTTATGGACAGGGAGACAGCTCAGGGGGCAGGAGTGCATGGAGGAATGGACACAGGGAAGAGGTAACTATGGGGAGGAAGTAGGAGGGGAGCTGTTGTATTAGGGTAAATTGTAGTCCATGTCATGAGATTAAGTGTGTGTGAACTACTGTATGGAAAGTGAATTTACTCTGTAAACTTTCACCCAAATCACAATTTAACAAAAAAAAAAAAAGGTTTTAATTTGGACTAGAAATTAGTCAGTTTACAAGGTTTAGCTTTCTCCCCTCTCCTCCTACTATACACAACTGTGAAAAGGTCTCACATGACCAACACCTGAATCTGAATTTCTCCAAAGCACTCAGTCAGATGTTTTGCGGTTGTGTTCCTATTTAGATGAAGTATTTTTAGTTCAAAGGAAAATGATTGAGTACACTTTAACCAGTTTTAGCTAATGTCAGAACAGGAAATAAGGATGCTTTTTGGGTTCCCAAAAAATAGTAGATATGATTTACATTGGTATAGGGCTCAGTTACTAAATATGTAGCATGTTTGTCACTCTGGGTTATAACTATTCCTTTCCTGTCTGCTGTTGTAAAAGATTCAGAGTAGAGAAACCAACCCATTAAGAGTTAGTCTTTTTCAAAGTGTATGTGAACTGCTGTATGAGAAGTGAATTTGCTCTGTAAACTTTGACGCAAATCACAATTTAAAAAAAAGTTAAGTCTTCCTCATCTTTGATCTATTTGCTTCATTTTCTCTGACCTTCTCCCTTCCAGGTGGTCCTATAGTCTCCCATTTCTTCACCTGTGCATATTGTGAGCTCTTCTGATGTTCCTTCATTTGTTAGTTCAGGGTCTCATTTCCTGCTCTCAACCTCACTGTGGTTAGCATTTGTAGAGTGGAGTTTGTCACATGGCCTGGATGTAACAGAATGCCAAAGAATAGGAGTCTAAGGCCGTCAAATACTTAAAACTAAAAAAAAAGCTTTTAAGGAATGTGAGAACTTGGCCAGCACACTGGGATTAGAGAACCCGCCTAAGAAGCTACCTGGGATCCTGAGATAAGCAATTAAAATGGTGCAAGCGCTTGTAATTATTTGGCAATGGGCTGGAAATGTGTCTCTACCAGTGAAATTGAAGGCACTGAGCACTCCTTAGCCTTCCTGTTTACACCCAGCAAACAAATTACATATGTGTATGTATGGAGGAGTATATATATTTGTAAACTCACTACATGATATTTTACAGGTGTTTACAGTTGAAGAAATGATGCCTCATATCCAACATTTGAAAGGAGCACATAGTAAGAACTTATTTCTTAAAGACAAAAAGAAAGGCTTTTGGCTGGTGACAGTGCTTCATGATAGACAAATTAATTTAAATGATCTTGCCAAACAGTTGGGTGTTAGGAGTGGAAATCTGAGGTTTGCTGATGAAACAGCCATGCTGGAAAAATTAAAAGTTGGCCAAGGCTGTGCCACACCCCTCGCACTCTTCTGTGATGATGGAGATGTGAAATTTGTTCTGGATTCTGCTTTTCTGGAAGGTGGACATGAAAAGGTATACTTTCATCCAATGACTAATGCTGCAACCATGGGATTGAGCCCTAGAGACTTTCTCACATTTGTGAAGAAGACAGGACATGATCCTGTAATACTAAATTTTGACAAAAACTAGCTGAGCTAATGTTTAAAATAAATTGATTTCTGAAAGCTCTTTTTCTTTTTTGTAATTTATATAAAGCATTAAAAGTGATGAGTATTTGGTACCCTTGGTTTGGTGACTACCTAAATCTTTTCAGGGGAATATTTCATCTTCAAGGAGCTGATTTAAAAAAGGTGTATTGTGGCAGTTTTAGTCAATTCAGAGGACCCTTCCTCCCTGTCCCCCCTTCCTCCTACAATGACTCTAGAATTCCTTCAAAAATTAAGACAATTAACTGTTATGTATAAAATTATATATATAGTAGTATACTTCTAGAGGAAAAAAACAAAAGGCATATATTGTTAATAGTGGTTATCATCTTTGGGGAATAGGGATTAAGAAGGATTTTCACTTTTTGATTAAAAATTTTTAAAGCATTACTAGCTCCATATGAGGGCTGGAATAAACACTCTCCACTGATATCTTAAAACAAAAAAATGGGCAAAAGCTTTCTATTATTGGGTGCTTGTTTTTAAACCAGTGACTTTTCTCAGTGAAAAATAAGCTGTTCTTACTAGACAATTTATCTGTGGGAATTTTTAATTTACAAAAACTAGAGATGAAAAATGTAGCTGTCGTAATTATACTATTAAATTCAGCAGCAGAATATACTATACCATTAATCATTTGTTTAGTCACAGTTCAGAGGTTAGAAATGTGAATACATTGTACAAGTTTCCCTAAACTGTACTCAATTTTTACTTCCCCTCTTCAAATATGGTAATGGTATAAAACCCCAGGAAAATGTAGGATTAATTGTCATATGTATTATAGGGTTAGTTGTCATATAACAATCCTTCCTTGAGGATGTGACCTGAGTGAGGCTACAAAACTTCATGACTACAAAAATTCTTATGTCTTTTTCCAATACAAATGGGATATTCTCAACTGAACCACATTAAGTTTGATCATTCAAAAACTAATATTCAGCTGGCAGAGATAGTTTACTTGTACCAATTTGTATTACTAAAGCAAAATAAAACAGTCATTTCATGATACATACCAGAAATTACATAGAATTAAAAAGAAAAGGTTGGGTGTAAGAGATGTAAGTTAGTAAGTATTTCCTATAAATAACCTTATTTGAAAATCTGAAATTAGTTTTTATTTACTCTGTACTTTGTCTCTAAGGTGAAAAAAATATTTTTAGGTTGCTTATATGTTTACTGTGAAGGCAGTAATTAACAGTGATGGAAACAGTACCTCAGATACCTGGTCTAACTACTCTCCCCAATAGCTGCTTTCTCTAATGTAATTCTGCCTCCCAAAGTGGAAATGAAAAAGATTAATTTGTGCAACTCACTAAGTTTTTTTTCAGCCTATTCTGGGATTTATAGAATTGAAGACTCTTTCTCCTGCAACCTCCGAAACTATCCCCGAATGATTAGGACAGTCAGGATCATCTAAAAAGGATTATGGAAAGTTCTGCATTGTGTCTGAGAATAGGTTTTCTGGGTCAAAGGAAAAGGAATGAAAAAAATAACACTTGGCTAAAATTGTATTTTGTGATTTTTAAATGATTACTAACCACTTGTTACAAAAATTCATTTTGTTTTATTTTTATATCAGTTTAACTGAATGTTAAACCAAATTTAATCAGTTTTTTAGGAGAAACAAAGTTAAGAACTAAAAGGAAAATTAATGTGGTTTTAATAAGACAAGCAGACAGAACGGTGTCACTTTTGTTAGGAGTTGGGTTTCTGTGGCTATCAGGTATCAAGTAATAAACATTTTACCATTTAACTCCAAATCTCTCAGCATTAGTTTTAAAAGAAATTACAGTTTTTATATTATTTGATTTGGTATTTAATAATGTTAAGTACAATGACAAACATTGAAAAAGAGAATTCTTCATAGAAAAGAAAAAGACAATTTAAAATCAGATTTTGTTAAAGGGTATTTTAAGTGCAACTTTATCCATAAGCATTCCTTTTAAGGCATTTTCATTGTCCAAATATCTCAACATGTACATCAAGGTTATTAATATAAATGGGCTGCTTTTGTATTACTCATTCAGGTTTAAAGGAAAAAAAATACATTTCAAGACTAAGCTGAAAAGAAAAACACAAAAATCTACCACTTTTCTCTTAAGTAACTTAAAATACAAGTTATTTAGCATACATTATTACTCTTCATGGTAATTCCAGATTTGGTACGTATCTTTTCCACTTCCTGACATAAACTGCTAAGACAGTACGGACTGTGATAACTTCATTTGTGAGGTGACTACAATTCAGTAATACACACAGTGATTTTTAAATAGGTTTTTACCATGCCTTGGCATGAAAGGTGCTACACAAAAACCTATTTCATTAATTCTTTGGTAACCACTAATTCATCAACTTGGAGTAAACATTTTCACATGGCCAATATAAAGCACAATGTTGGAGCTCTGGGCTGAGACTATTACCCTGTGTACTGAATTCTTAAGTATTCCGGTGGAAACTGAAGGTGTTGATTTAGAATAGAGCCAAATAATTAAAAGCAGATGGCCCAAGTCAGTTTCCAGTTGGTTTTACACCATTTTATTTGGCCAAGGAAGTTTGTCTTGGAGAAAAGAGTGGTTTCATATAAAGTTTAATTTCAAAGGTATCTTTTGGAGAAAATAAAATATTCATGTGGTTATAATTAGTCCTTTCTTGAAATGGTAAATAAAAGATAATAAATACAATTGGGAATATCTTCAGTTCTGCAGTCTTCAATGGGTTTCCTTGGTTGTCTCTTTAATTGCCTTTTCTCAGCATCATCCTAATCACATTCAGTATTTTACAGGTTGCCCTTAAGCATTTTCTACTTGAGTCTAAACGGTGCTTCTTAAGTCAGCAGATTCCCCATTTTAGGATATTAGTGTTTTGGAGAGGTCAAGCTGGTATATCCTTCACCTTCACTGAGCTATGTCCTACTCATTAAATTACAACTTTGAGTAATTGTCCTGGGATATGTCCTAGTTGTGCAAATTAGATGCTAGTTAATATAAATCTAAGTTACCTACTTTCTGTATTTAGGTAAAACACAATTTCTACATTTAATTTCAATTTATCCACCTAAAAATGAATTTACATTTTTTACATGCAAATGTCTGTAGAATGGTATGATGGCCATTACCAATTTGATACTTGAATCCAGGAAGTCATCATGAAGAGAGAGATGTAAGGTGTAGAGAATAGGTTTTAAGTATGCCTTTTGTGCAGTATTTGTATTTCAGTAATAATTATTTGTATTTACATTTACACAGCACCTTTCATCCAAGAGTTTCATCCAAGTGACTTAACTTTACAGCATTATTTGCTGGCAAAACCTAAGTTAATGGCAGCATTAAGTAAGTCCAAGTTCTCTAACTCCCATTTCAAATTCTGGTCAACTAAATTTGCTGTTTCCTTTTTTTTTTTTAAATGAAGGTTTTTTTCTGAAAATAGACTAGGAACACACATTGACATTGCTGTTGGACTATGGGGGGAAAAAAGAGACACACAAATTTTCTTATGCTAGTGGATTAATAATGAAACAGTTCATAAACCACACACTATGGAATATAGAGTTATTCCAAAAAGAACTTTAGAGCTGGTAATGAGAGCCTAAGAAGTGAACTTTTAAAATAAACAAGTCAGTATCTTTTGTCATTTCAGACCTTTAAGATTATTCTGATATTTATGTTAATTAATGAATTTGCATTAATAAGAATCAATGCATTTTTTGATTTCATACGAAAATAAAACTGTGATACAAAATTGGAACTACTAAAAAATTAATGTTTCCCTGGGTTAATGAAATCTACTTTTTTTGTGCTTCTTCCAAATGTTTAAGGTAACAAATACGTACAGATATTTCAAAAGTACCAATAATAGTTATCAGCTTTAATGTGATATTATAAAGGACAAAACAAAAAAATTTTATTAAACAATAACCTTAATAATAAATGAGTTCCTGGCAAAATGCAGAGCATATTAAGTTATTTACATTATTTTTTGCTATAAGAAAACTTCTTAAGCAACAGTTAGCTCTCAAGTTAAAAAATTCAAACACACATACATCACTCAATATCGAAGAAGGGAAATGAGTTAAAACGTAACAGCTTTTTCTTAGGAATGCCATTTGCTGGAAAACCACTTCACTAAAAAAGTTTAAGAAAAACACTCTTTAATTACACCTTGGATCCATGTGTAAATGCTTAGTGTTGCTTAGTGAGGAATATGGAAAGCATATCACTAAATTTTTCATAACTCTAATGGATTTTTCCGTTTTATCTTATGAACTGAATTTCTTTTGCAGTGCATCAAAATAATTGGCTTTTTAAAAAGAATCAACACATGCAGTCTGCTAACCAAATAAGGTTCCGACATGCCAAAACATTTTTTTTTTCTGTATCTTAATATACAGTACATTCCACAAAATACTACAGCATTTAATTTAGATTTACACAACTAAATATAAATGGCTAGATTTGGGCAAATCCTTAGCAGAAGCGTTAAGCAAACATGGATAAATTCATAAACAAATGATAAAAGACAGAAGTAGACTGTTCCTGGAGTACTTCTTGAAACCATAAAACACTTGGTCCTTAGTGCGAGAACATCCTTTATTCAGTAGATCTTAATAATACAATGTATAATAAGTCCTAAAACCTAAAAGTTTTGGCAGTTGATTCCAGTAGTGCTCCTTGATTCAAGGAAGGAATGAAGGTTTGTATTGCCTGCTCTATTCACGAAGGATTGTTAAAAGTCTCCTTTTTAAAGATTTTTTTAAAAAATGATTCCTATAGTTGGCTGTCTTCAGAAATAAAGGCTTCTTACTGAGAAACTGAAGGACACTTTTCTCTCTGTATTTAGTTGGAAGGTAGAAAGAAGAAAGAAAACATAAGAAAAGCTTGAAGAAAAAAGAGAGATAAAATATAGACCAGCCCCTATAAGAACAGCATGCACCAGGTATCTCTATTGGAATGAGAAAGTGACAGAAAGTCAGAGGCAATTTTAAGTGGCTCTTCATAGAAAAGTCATTTAGTTTATTCTCATCCCTTATCAAAGTTGTATTCCTATTACAAAAATGACTCTGAACTAAGAATATAATCCCTAAAACATTATTCACTAATAAAATGAAATTTAAACTGAGAAATAAAACAATTTCTAAAAGTGTGTTCCCTGCATGGATAGGCAAAAACCTATGGGACCCAAATAATTTTGCTTTACTAACTAGTAAGTAGGACAGAAAGTCAATGAATTAAGCAAGCAATATTTACAACTGTTAATGCAATATGCACTCTTTCTCATAATGCGGTTAGTTTGTATAAATGAGACTTATCTCATTTACATTTTAAGTCAGAAACTCACCACTTGGCCCACATGTCATGTAGTGGGTAATAGAATTAGGAGCTTTGTTGCTCCCTAGACCTGCTTTTTGAAATTCTGCTTTCTTGTACTGTGTCCACATCTGCAGGAGAAAAGCATTTCATGTTATTTAATCAAAAGTTAATACATAATACAATTAATGAAGATAAGGAACTAATGAGCTCTCACTGAACAGGGCAAGGAGAAGGAATTGGTAACTGCCTGGGAAACTTATTAATCAGACAGTTAACATTATTTAAAGACTGATCTTTGTATTTTAAAATAGTTACATTATTTAAAGACTGATCTTTGTATTTTAAAATACAGTTACATTATTTAAAGACTGATCTTTGTATTTTAAAATACAGTTACATTATTGAAAGACTGATCTTTGTATTTTAAAATACAGTTACGAAAGGTAAAACTTTTTTTTAAAACAAACTATTTTAATTACATTTTTTCCCCTCTTAGTGTCAGACAGATTTACTTTATTACTAAATGTCACGTAGAATTTTAAAATAAAATCTTGCATGCAGCAGCAGGAACATCCACAAAATATTTATTATTTACTAACAAAACCAGAGCTCAAGGGATATTTTATAGGTAAATTATGTACTTACATTGATTATAGCTAAAATTGCTTGGGCCAAAGGGGACACAATGCCTAGCAATAAAAGTTTACAATGCCTCACAAATATAATTTCTAGAAATCAAGGCCAGGAATATGAAAGCTGTCCAATTTTATGATTTATAAAATTAGGATGCTGGATTTTCATTTTTTTTTTCTTTTGTGAAGCCCTAAGGTATTTATGGAGGTATTTTAGAGGAAAGTGCAGCTACTCAAGTCAATCAGTTGTTTCACGTTTATCTTTAAAAAAAAAAAATCGGGGGTATCACTAAGATTATATACATCTATATAAACAAACTGACTGCCATCAAGTTGATTCTGACTCATAGCAACCCCCTTTGGGTTTCCGAGGCTATAAATCTAAATATATTTACAGAACTCCTCAGAAGGAAGATGAGGCAATCTACTTCTGAAGTGATACTGCCTTGGAAACCCAAGGACGGGCCGCTATGAATTGGGTCCTACTCGACGGCACATAACAACAAACAACATATTTACAGAAAGTGTTATATACTCTTTTTTTTAAAAGCATGGGAAACACTGGTTTTATATGATCTTTAAGGTTCTCCCCATTGCTAAAATTTGATTCAAAGTGCTATTCCACAAGTAAGAAACTAGTGCTGTTTTGCAAAATTTTATGACTCTACAGCAGATGGTTTCTAGAGGGAGTCAGTCTAGTGTATATTCTCAGTCCTCAAGACACGTGGATATAGCCTTTATCCTACATATGCAGTGTACATTTTCTTTTGGAAAATACACTGCTTATACAACCATAGCTATTTGAGTAGGAAACATTTCTTTCTTGTAAATTTAATTTTGTAAAACACTGAGTTATTGCCATAACTGCACATGATTTTCCAGTGTATTTTGAATGAATTAATGTTTTCAAGTGTTATGACCAAATTTATAACATTTAAAAAATCTGAATAGCTGTAAAATAATCTTTGACTTGATACAGAAAGGGAATGATACTATTTATTACACCTAGTGTATAGCCCCCAACTATTCTCATTTATGTTTACTATCAAGTGTTATTACTAGGTTATAAAACAAGAAAAGGGTGATTTTAATTTTTCAGACAAGGAGAGTATTAGCAACAAAAGCATTTGAACTGATAAAATTATGCAAAAGTTGATAATAAAGTTCACAGATCCATTTCTTCAGAAAATACATTAGCCAGAACTGAGAAACATGAACATTTTCTGATTGTGTTCATTTGATTACCTGCCCCTGAAACATTATTAGTAATAACTATCTATGAGAAAAGAAGTCTGGTCAAAGGTAACTACTATTTGGGCCCAAGTCCCCAAAATGATCTTGCAGAAGTACTAAAGGATGGCTTAATATGCAATGAATACAAATTTCACTGAGCAAAGATTCCCTATAGATTTTGTTCTCTTTGCTGTAATTAATAATAATATTTTTAAAAATCTCCTCCCCATTTAGAATGTCCCATTCTAAAGCCTTCTTTTTAGATGCCAGGCTGACTTAATTTCAGTAATATTTGTTGTCGTCGTTATGTGCCGCCAAGTCAAACCTGACTCATAGCAACCCCTCCTTGGGTTTCAGAGGCAGTATAACTATGGAAGTAGATTGCCCAACCTTCCTTCCAAGGAATGGCTGGTGGGTTTGAACTGCCAGCCTTCTGGTTAGCAGTCAAGTGCCTTAGGCACTAAGCTACCAGAGCTCCTTCAGTAATATTTCGATTAAAAAAAAAAAAAAAAAAGAAAAGAAAAAAACACTCTGGAAACAGAGCTAAGACATACTTGTCCGGAAGTAAGTGAATCAGTGTTATAGGTACCCCCCTTTTTTAAAAATATTCTGGGTGTTAGAGATTCAAGTTACTAGATTCTGCTTTTAAAATACTATGATCACAGAAAGATTACTTTAAAGTTTATGACACTGGAGTTAGAGTTTTAGCAAATGTATGGTTAATTTTGGCTAAAGAGTTTGTATTTATTCTTAGTTCTAAAATCTGTTCCACTAAAAAGATACTTATTTAAGTGGTTTCACTTGTAGTTTTACATTTTAGCACAATGTTCTCGTTTGTAAAAATTCTGTTTAAGGACATACATATATAATTTAACAATAAATCACTTATACAAGTAACAATCTTCAAAAAAACTAATCTTTTTATAATTCTTTTTGAACTAACGCTTCGAAATCTAAACACTTCTTATCCCCCATTTTGTAAACTTGCTACACTTTTTGAATAGAAGTAAAAATACAAATTTCCAACACACTGAATATGATTTGGTTTATTTCTTTTTGACTCTGCATATAAAAAAAGAACTAGAAGAACTACTGTTAACTGACTGTAAGTAAAAAAAGTCATCTTGAAGGAATGATAGTACTTGACTCTTATATTTATCAGATGAAGAAAAGTGCAGAGGACAAACAGAATTAATACAAATGCTCCTAGTTACTGCATAAATTACATTTGAATTCGATGGGGTTTGTAAGAATCATACTAAGTTTATGAGTATTAACAATGTTTTACATCTGAACAACGTTTTATAAATATGGGTAAGAGTAATTTGCTACACATAAAGCATTAAATGAATTATTAACTATTTATCTGAAAATAAAATGAAAGGACAGATGGCACAACTAAATTTTTAAAAAATGACATTTTTACATATTTTCCTTACTAACACTGTTCATGTGCAAGATGAAGTACATGTTCAGGGGTAAAAAGAAAAGGAGAAAGTGGAAGACAGAGGGAGAGAGGAAGAAAGGGAGGGAGGGAGGAAGACAGGGGCAGCAGAGGAGAATGAACATTCTCTTTCAAAAGCAACAGAGCAAATACGACCTGGAAATGCATGCATCTGTTTTAACATGCTTTTGGATATCAAAGTTAACAATCTTTTATCAGGCAACAAATGTATGAAAGAGGAGCATGTATTGTTAAGGCTTTTAAGGCATGCAGAAAATGTACAATGCAATTATAAATTCATGCAAAATTTGGTGTGGTTACAAATTCACATTTATATACATGCCATCATGTACAGGTGAACACTATGCCACAATTTAAACGTAAAAATATAAACCTAGCTATGCTACTTTTCAAAAGCAGCTCTTCAAATCAGATTAGAGAAGCACAGTGCATATCAAAGGACATCAGTATCATATTGGTCTGTTTTGATCATACACAACCATATTCATACCAAACAGTTTGATTATCCTCAGAAACCAACAATGCAACTTCTGTGTCACCATGATTGAGGCATGCAGGAGTGATAACATTATTGCTATCTAGAGAAGACTGTGGGTTACTGTTATTAGGGTTTTGATTATCAGAAAACTGTTCATTATCTTTCTGTGTAGCTTTATCCAAAGAAGTGGAAGCCTGATCAGTTACTTTAGTGACTGGTCTTGGGGGGAACCCACTTATGTTACTAACTAATTCTGTATTCAGAGATAAAAATGGCTGAGATGAATGAGTCACAGTAAATGACCCTGTGCTATCTTTAGCTGATATTCCGAATGGATCACTAGACATATTAACAGTGGCAAAAGTTTGGTTTAGAAAATGTGACCTTTCTGTTCCTGAGTTTCTAGCCTGGGCATATAGAGACTCAGAGCAGAATGTTGGCGTATCTGTAGGTAAATCATTTTGCACACGGGAACCTAAAGTAGGTGTTGGACTGTGACGTATATGAGTGGACCATTGGTGTAAACAGTACTCACTAGATGCTGCAGTGATGCTATCAGCAGAAGCTGGTGGTGAATCAGCTGACATAGGTAGCCTACTGTCCTTGGTCAAAAAGTCATGGATGCTTGTCCTTCGAGTAGTTCCTTCAGCAGTAGAGATCACACTGCTTGCACGAGGTAAAGTAGCATAAGGATTACTATCTTTTGATTGTCGTGACAGAGAAGTTTCTTTTACTAATTTTATCTTTCCTTGAGGGCCTGGTGTAGGTTTTCCTGGAGGACCAACGAAGTGAGTATCTTCAGTCTTTTGAGAACAAGGTCTCATAAATTGTTCAGGCTTAGTTGTCCGTCTATCACGGAAGTCCCCTGGGGTTCTTCCACTTACTGACCTGGTCAGACCACAGCTAATTGGTTTGTCCTTTCCCAAAAAGTCAGAAGAGACAGACAAACTTTTCATTACTTCATCTAAAAGATTCTCTTGACTTGAGGACTTCATCTGTTTTTTTAAAAAAAATCAAAGCAAATTAGTGAATGCAGCCAGGATTTTACTTTCTTGATGTATAAAGTTGTAACATAAAATTACTAGTATCTCTAAACACTCCTTAACTAAAAATACAATTCAGTTCAGTCACAGAAATTTAACTTGTGGTGTTTATTTAAATTAAGGTCACCACGGATAAAACTAACCTGTATTGAGGTAAGCTTGTTGCTTTCTTCCAAAAATTGCTGTAGAGTAACTACTTCACTTCCAGGGGAACCAGTTTTGATCTTGTGATGTGCTCGACTCTCTAATGTTTCAGGCATTTTGTGCTGGAGCATTGGACTTGATCTGGTCTGCCTTTTCAAGTACTGGATTGGGCTGCTACCACTGCTGGACCACACCTCATGATCATGAAGCATGCTAAATTCTCCACTGCTATGGCTTTGTGGCCTGCTTTGGCTATTAACAGCACCTGCTTTTTGGAGTAAATGGTATATTAAGAGTTCAGGAATGGAAATGTGATTAATGCTATTTAAGTAGAAAACTTTTGTTGACTGGGTAGCTGCTGTTATATAAAAGGCCAAACTCACTTTCAATTTTTTTTTAGAAATGCTGTGTAAACCATGTTAATTTTCCATAGATCTAACAATTGTCTACCATAGCCAACTTATTGTGTCCACTGACAAATACTGTAAACTTCACAAGGGCAAAGACTTGCTTTTACCACTATACCCAGGGTCTAAACAACCTCATACAAAGTAAGCAATCAATACATTTGATGAGTAAATGAATGAATAAATAAATGAGTGAAAAATGTATTATTTAAAATTCAAGTTCAAATAATTAAAGTATGTCACAACTTAGAATGTGAACATGTTATAAGAATCTTAAATTATTTCAAAATGTTAAAAAATTATTCTAAATGCTAAAAATCCTATTCTGATTTTTTACTTCTCTATGAAGTTCTCATTCCTTACCTGAAGACTTATTTGTTCACCCTAAATGAAAAACCTTATTATTATTATTTTTTAAAATCTAAATAGCAAGCATATGTGTTGTTGTTGTTGTTGTGTGCCGTTGAGCCGGACCTCATAGTGACCCCTCCTTGGGTTTCCAAGGCAGTATCACTACGGAAGTAGATTGCCCAACCTTCCTTCCAAGGAGTTGCTGGTGGGTTTGAACCTCCAGCCCTCTGGTTAGTAGTCCAGTGCCTTACACTACCAGAGCTCCCAACAGGCATGTAAGAAAGTCAAATGGAGATATGAGGTAATTACTAAGAAAATTCCATTAAGAATATGAAATCAAATATATAGTATTTTATTCTTTTGTCTTATGCCTGATTCATCTGATTGTTCCCACTCTCTACCCTTGGCTATATCGCCTTAAACGACTAAGTTAAGACTGAGCAATTGTATAGAATACAGATTATCTGCCTCTAGAACAAAGCTCCTTAAAACTTATGCTATTCCTTAAGAGTGCTGACTGTTTTGATTAGTAGCAAACTGGATAGTGCATCAGGACAGAAAATTCAACTCCACAGTTTGCTAATTTCATCCAGTAAGGTCGTGAAAGAATTTGGCTAAAGTTATGTAACATTTCATAGAAATAAATTTTCTTAAATTTTCAAACCAGAAAAAATCCACTTCTTATTTTTAGCCTACATTTTTCTTCTGGCTATAAGAATATGATTATTAAAAAAAAATATATAATCTCTCTCAAAATCAGTTTTTCTCAGATCACTGCAACAAAGTCATAGCATTAATGATAAAATTGTTACAGATCATTTTATAACACACAAAGCAAAAAACAAATGCATTCATTATAATTAGACAACTCTGGACTGTTGAGAATAACTATTATAATCTATTAAATAATTCTAGAATCTGACTAAATAATAGGTAAGAAAAAGGTTATCATTCAAGGTTTTCAGCCATTTACATAAAAATCTCATCTTGGAATGCTTATTAAAATTATAAGGAAAACTATCTTGAAATAATTATTTATATAAGCTATATGCATCCACATAGCTCTTGTTCTATACACACACACACACACACACACACATCTGTCTCTATTTTTAACAAGTCTTCACTATTTAGTGGATAAATTAAGTTAAAAGACTTTCTAAAATATGTCTGTTATGTGAGTTCAAATGTATATGCATGAGAAAATTAAAGATAACCATTTTCATGTTACAACAAAATTAAGTAAAATAAAGATTTACAGATATTTTTGAAGTATAAAGATTACAAGAAAAAATTTTATCTGTGAGGATGGAAATCAGAAATCAAAATAACTGCTCCTGTTTTTACATTTGTACACACTGAAATACACTTGTATTACAATGTAAAAAGCTGAACATTTCCAAGAAACTACATTCCCAACATAGATGATTTGGATTTCGTACTTTAACCCAGCAACTTCATCCTATCATCCACCTTTAAATACTGGAAATGGATGGAGCACATTAATAAATTTACCTACAGCATACCTTTGACTTCATGGAGTGAAGCATTATTATTGCTATTGCTAGTGGATGTTCTGCCACTATCAAGGCTGGCTGGTCTCGAAGCTAAATGAAAAAATCAGGAGACAGTGTGATAAAACTTTCAGCTGATGACACTGAGCTTTACATTCTGATCACAGAATGCTTTAAGGAAGCAATCAATCATGCATGTTTTCACAGGCTGAGCATGCCCACAGAAAGTTAAATCTTACAGATTAGAAAGCAAAGGCATTTCCAGGTAGTTCAGAATGATGCTTTAGAACAGGATATTTCTGAAACAGTGGTTGAGATTCAAAGAACAGAAGATAAAGTGCATATTTAGATTTGAAAATGACTTCTAGATGGCCATCAGGACAGTTTTAGTTGAATAGAATGGCATGCCAAAAAAGAAAAAAAACAAACAAAAAAAACCTAGTGATTAGGTCACTTACAACAGATCAGAGAAGGAACCCTGCACATTGCAGAGATGCCACAGACAGGAGGAACATGAGCATCTGCACGTTTAATGTCCTGTATTCCTACCCATACAAGGGAAACAACTGCACAGTTAACACTGCCCTGTGCTAAATCTTAAAATCTCAGTGAGACATGAAATCTCTTCAACATGTTATCCAATTACTGTTAATAATTTAGTTAGGCAAGGTATGATTTGCCTGATAGAAATTTAAAAATCTGAAATATTCAATGATGTAGAAAATTTGGTTTCTTAAAATTCATCTTTTACCAACATAATTTTTTTTCAACAGTGGTGATATGTAACTCTCATAACTTTAGCTTTATGCAAAGATGGCAACAAAATTACCTTTGAGTATTGTGCAGGAATACTTTATAAATGACCTTGACTAAAATAGAGAACATATAGATGAAATAATATCCTTAAGAGGGGCAAAAGAGAGTATTAAGTTTAAAGAAATGGCAGAAGTAGCTATGAATGCAAGTTAGAAAAAACATGCTTGCTGGCAATGCCACATTCACCTATACAATGCAAGATTCTTAGCATTCCCATTCTGTTCATTCTCTAAAGTTCATATCTTACCATGAACTCTTGATCCCGTACTAGAATCATCACTAATACCTTGTGGGCTTATATCTTCAAAGGATGTAGTATCTACATGAGATAGTAAAATGGATATAAAATATTTTCGTAACCAAAAAATTGATTATAAAATTTTATTTACATAGAATATGGCTATTCTTTTTCAATCACGTGCAATACATCTTGGTAAAACATATTTCATAGACTCAACCAGAAACTGGAAGTAGGAGTAAGAGACAGAGTGGCTCTGATGAAGGTTGACTGGTTATGGAAAACCCCAGAAGCAATGAAACAATCTCCCCTGTGACCCTGCAAAGCAAAGCAAGAGCCTAGGTTATTTATTGTATGAAGTTCTCTGTTTGAATGTGTGTTATTTATTTATTTATTTTTAAGAACTTCTATCACTTCCTCCTTTCTCACTGTTTACCTGGTTTACCTCTCCTTTTCTTGCTAGTTTATTAGCTGCTTATTATGAATGGAGGCCTAGGAGAGATTTTAGTTATTTGTATAATGTCCTAAGTTTTTGAAATGATTTGAGAATTCTTCCAAATAGAATCCAGATTATGTTTTTGTAATTATTTCAGGTTGCTGCTTTTAAAAAAATGTACACAAGGGATAGTCAAATTAAAATTCCAGTTGCAAACAGTTACACCACAGTGCAAATAGCAGACGGCCTATACCTTTATTATTAACCAACTGCTTGGATCTGAAGCCTGTAGAAGAGTTGACAGTTGAAAAGTTGATGGCTGTAGTAGAGAAGGCCATAGCTCCCAATTCTTTTCTCCTTTTACCCGTTGAAATATCATCAGGAACCTCCAAATTCTCAGTACTACCTGTCCACTGTCCTCCTGCTAGGACCATGGACTGCACCAGGTCATTCATGGCTGGGATGCAAATGAAAGCAAATGAATCAGCATGGTTAATGTGTTCACTTTTATATCTGTTCTGTATTATAAATGATCTAGTTTTTGTCTATGGATTCATGTAAGTGAACATCAAAAACTACAACCTCAAGGTCATTTGAATTATGACATGCATTCAATTGAATGAAATGAGTAGGCCAAAGGCTGATAAATTTCAGTAAATACTTTTATCCTATTCCCCGCCCCCTTTAAAAAACAGGAAAATAATTTTAACTATGTACAACTGCCATGCTTTTGTGCAGTGATATGCAATATAATTAGAAGTCTATGTAATGTGATCTTGTGGTGACAAAAATGGAATGAATAAAGGTAAGATGGTGAGCAGATTATATATAGCATCATTATTGAAAATGATAGAGTCCTTGGTCAGAGCAGGTTACTGAAGAAATTATTCATTTTATGAATCAATTAAGTATATCATTCAATAAAAACCTGAAAGAGAGGATATCCAAAGTGACAGCCATTTAATGTGATTATGTAATTACCCATTTCACTTAAAAAAAGAAAACTCAGAGTATTATTATAGAAAGAATGACAAACATTTTCAAGGGTTATAGGCTATTTTATTTATTTATTTAATCTGGTTCATATAAAATAAATTCCTAAGGCTAATGGTTTTGTTATATCTTTTTAAAGTAAATTTCTTTGGGAAAAAAATCTCTATAGAATATAAAATTAAGGGTTCTTTTTCCTGCCAACTTTTAGAAAGCACTGGAAATTTACAAGTATATTACATGTATGACTAAACATATGCATGTATATATACATGTATATGTATCAGTAAACATACATATAATGTAAATTCAGTACCAGTTTGAAAAAAATATTCTCCCAGCTCCTTGTATTACAGGAAGACTGCACTTTACAAAATAAGAAAATTGGCACAGTCCGAGAAAGGTTAGTGAAATATTAGTAATGGAAGCCAGTGTAGTCATTTGAAAGAAGCTGAACTGTCATAAAGTCTTACACATGGAACGACGGTAGCAGGCCTTCATTTTGTCTTTATCCTTCGGTCTGTTCCTCAAAAAGGGCAGTCTTTTCAGTGCAACCACTTTAATGTCAGAGCATGAGGAAAAACAGAAACAGGGAAATGAAAGAAAAAAGGGAGAAGAACAGATGGGAGTTAAATGTTGAAATTAAGGACAGAAATGAATGTTTGAGTTTCAGCTATGTAAGCTATACTAAAGCTATTATTCTCATGCTGCTGAATGATAATGAAATATGAAATATGTACTTTGATACTTTAAAATACTTGGAAAAGCACTGAAGACAATGATGAGGAACATATACTTTGAAAACTTGGAATGGTTACAGTCATTTAAAAACAGGAACTGATTAGGATTATTCATGGAGGAAACAATTTTCCTAGTTAACTTGTAAAGTTATACCTTTAAAAATTAAGGCTACTGATGGGTCGTGATGAAAATGTACAGAGCTTTTCAATCTTTTGTTTTTCAGAACTTTTAAATTATAGGGCTTTATTTCAGAAAAAAAAAAAAAAAATTAGGAAAATGTACATTCTACCAAAGTATTTCAATAAAATATATCAACAAAAATTAGAATGCCCAAGGATATTTAAAACAATCTAAAGAAACTTTAAAAAAGCCCACTAAAAACTTTTGCTTTTTTTTCTCTAGGCTTTAATTAAAAAAACAGGAAATTAACTTCTTTGTTCAAACTCAAATGTGGTATATTATTTAGTACACATTTTTTTTCCCCTAGTAAAGTCCTTCTAAAGATAAAATAAACAATTATATTTTAGTTCATTCTGCAAAAGGTTGGCTGGGGGAAGAAAGAAAAAAAGACTATTTTGATAATAATAATAAGTGTTAGTAAGCTCCAATAAGACTAATGGATAAGCAGGTACCTCAAGCAAGTACAAAATGATAGAAACCTATCTATGTACGTGTAACATTTTCAGGTTTTGAACGGTTTTGTGAACAAGCTTATGAAAGAAAAAATCAAAGGGAACACTGCACAAAAAAATATTGTGAATAAAAGTTAGGATTACCACTTAAGTATAGGAGTCATTGGAACAAAAATGAAAATGTGCTAGAGTCACTAACCATCCTTGAGCTACATTTTTAGAAAGATTTAGATACTTAAAATTGTTATACCTTTTTGGAAATGAAATTTAGGAGCTAGGAAAAAAATTTGTAAAAAGACTTAAAAAACATACATAGCCTTAATAATTATGCTTTTTCTCAGGGTTTGCCTTCCTCTTAAACAACCAAAGCTTTTCTGACAAACTGACAAGTATCATGCATTAAAGACAGTGCAATGGACAGGTAGCTTTTTAAGTTATTTGACGGTTACTAGGCACAGTCATGAATCATTTAGCTTTTAATTTGACCAATTTTTTCTAGCTTGGTAGACAGTTGTTTCCATGATTAAAAAGAAATGATCTGAAAGCAATGTAAAAATGGACACTTAGCTAAAATAAAGCTGAGTGGTTGCAGCATGAACATGTTGTCTTATTTAGGTACTTTTTTTGTTCTTTTTCTGCTTTTAACTGTTGTCCAAAGACTGCTTTACTGACAGACAGACAAATCTTCCAAAATGGACAGGATAAAAAGACTTTTAGATTTCCTAGTGGTGAAGAATGATCCCTCTTATGGCAGTTAGTTTGTAGATATACAATACCCTTTTTCCAAACCATACTGAAATTAAGGGAACCTTAGTATTGTTGGGTTTTGTGTTTATTTTAAATTTCTAAAACTGAACAATGGCAGGAAAGAAGAATATTACTTCCTTCTAATTCTATTCTAAAAATTTCAGCAGATAGTGTAAAAGAGTGACAATTTATACTTAAAAAGATGGTTTCAAAAAAGACTGTGCCTTTCTAGTGTGTGTTCTCTTACCTGAATTACCTTCCTTTAATTAAAAAAAAAAAAAAGAAAAAAACACAACTAACTAGGTCCATTATAATATCTCATTAAAAAGATGTTACATATTTTGTATCACAAGGTAGCAGATAAAGTTGTTTGCCACCTTTAACAAAAAAAGATGATCTCTCTACAGTAATAATTACTCAGAGATTTTAGGCAGATTTAGTGGAAAAGACTAGACTGCAAAAGACAACAGGTAGCAATAATCTTATGTGGACACACAGAATTAAACTGCTTTACTGAGACTAATTTATAGGTATGTGTATGGTTTTTTGTTGCTTACCTATGGATATTAGATTCCAGGATACTATAGTACTCACAAGGAGCCCTAGTGGCACAATGTTAAAACACTTGGCTGCGAACCAAAAGGTCAGTGGTAGGAACCCACCAGTGGCTCTGTGAGAGAAAAGATCTGGCAATCTGCTCCTGTAAAAATTATAGCCTAGGAAACCCTATGGGGCAGGTCTACTGCCCTCTTATGTTGCAATCAACTAGACAGCACATAACAATATAGTGGCATCCTAAAATATATTCTTTAATGTCTAATCTCCTACAGAGTAAAATATTTTGTCTTTTCCACGAGGTCAAAACATTATATACAATTCTTTGAGGGCTTTGAGTGAATAATTAGGAAAATAAAAATCTTATGCATAAATGTCTTACTTATTCCTCATAACCATCCTGTAAGGTAGGAAGGAAAGGTAAAATGCTTGTCCATGTTAACAGGACTATCAAGTGGTAGAGTATTTTGCCACTTATTTCAATGCTCTCTGTACTATAATATTGTACTTGCCTGGCTAAAGGATAATAATCTCTGTGGCTGAAACATCTCTCTAAATACACATAATATAGAAAATGACTTGATTGTACACTGTAGTAATAACACTTTTATAAACTCACTGCCATTGACTCGGATCCAACTCATAGTGACCCCTCCTTATGTTTCTGAGGCGGTATATCACTACAAAAGTAGATTGCCCAATCTTCCTTCCAAGGAATGGCTGGTGGGTTTGAACCGCCAGCCTTCTGGTTAGCAGTCAAATGCCTTAGGCACTATGCCACCAGAGCTCCCAATACTTTTATAATAATATGGAAATTTTAAAAAAATGTCATTAATCAGATTATTCTCACAAAGGACTGTTTAAGCTACTTAAAAGAAATCTTTAAAAAGGATTCTAAGTCATTTTTAGAAATCACAAGTTTTTAAGCACTCACTGCTGCTTTTCTTGGTCCCCATGGTTTGGCCATCTTCTAAAGAGTTTGAACCTACTGAAGAACTATCTTGACTATCTTGATGGGGGAGTTGAAGAAAGCCTTCACTGGAATCTGAGCGGGTGGGTGTTAATGTTAGAGATTTCTGACGTTCTCGATTAAGATCTTTCTTAGACTTTATCAATTTTCTCATTTTTAGGGTAATCCAGTTGCCTCTCCTAATAGGATAATTCAAAACAAAACAAAACAAACCAACCTCTGTTTAAAATTAAACTTATAAATCCTTTACACAATTAAATATTAACATTTAACTTTCATTTTATTTTCAGAATAAAAATTTATAAAGTTTGATTAATGGTACCTTCTAGGAGGTGATGGGTCATAAAATTTGTACTGATCCATAATTTTCTCTTCTAATTTCTCCTTCTGTCGTCTTAATTCATTCAGTTTATCACTATAAAAATAAAAATTTTATTTTAGGACATGCATATTTTATATCATTATGATGATAAATTATTTTTGACTATGATCAAATTTCTTTCCAACACATAAACAAATACAGATACCAGGGCTGCAACTACAACCAGGCTTGTTACATTAGGTAGTAATAATGGTGTTTTTTTCTCCTTTCTTTAAATTTGTCACTTAAATAAAAAGATACAGGATTTAAAGCTTCAATTCAAGGATTTGTTTGCTTCAAGAAAATTATCATACTATAATCTCATCATGACAAAGAAATCCTCTCACCATCTTTTTACAATTATTAAACAAACAATATTGTGTCAGCATTAATTATTTCCCTATTCTTAAATCCTTAGTATTTATGATAATTTTTGGAATGAAAGTTAATTTATATAAGCAAAAAAATAAGCATGTTAGATATTTATGTTGCTTACAATTATAGGTATTACAAACAATTTTGTAAAAAGTCTTTATGCAAATACATTTTTTTCCTTTTTGGTAAAATTACATAGGTTTAACTTACTTGTCAGAGAATTCCTTCCTGCCTGTAGCAATTCATGACTATATGAGTTTCACTATACGCTAGTCTCATTTTTTTGATTACTAGCCAAAAGGTGGTAGCTCTAACCCACCACGAGGTACCTTAGAAGACAGGCCTGGTGATCTGTTTCCAAAAGTTCACAGCCTTGAAAACCCTATGGAGTAGTTTTATACCACACATATGGGGCTGTAATGAGTTAGAAATGACTTGACAATAACTAATAAGTATGTATTATATATAGGGACATCAGAGATCACAGACCAAAGTAGAGTGATCACTCTTAAAAAACCATATTGCCAAAAAATACTATTTACTAAACAAATATTTAATGATCATTTACAATGAGCAAGGCAGAATGTATCTATAAAGTTGAATAAGTAGCCTGGTTCAGTTTATAAGATATATACATAATATTGTAATCCAAGGCAGTAGCAGTTCCAAAATAAAGGTACTGTATAAATAAAAAAGCTTATAAAAGGGAAAATATTCCCACCATGGAGTTGACTGCCAGTGTCATCATGGTGAATAACTACCACCAACTGATCAAAGATGATCAAAGGAAGCCTCATGAAAAAAGAAGCCATATTAGATGGCAGTAAGGAAAGATAAGAGTGCTATACTGAGCAGTTTAGCTTGAATGTAGGCTGAGAGGAAACAATGAGAGTTTCAAGTTTATATTTTACTCAATATAAAATTAGTATTAAATGTCTCATCACAAGCAACATTAAGAGATCTTTGTTTTAGGTAGTGTAACCCAGTGATGGAATAGGATATATCAGAAAGATTGGAGGTGAAACCATCTAGGAAGGTATTGGGCAATCTAGTTGAGAAAGATGGCTCAATTAGTATGGTGGAAATTAGAAGGAACTGATGTGAGAAATACAAAGAAAGAAGATGCTTTGTGAACAGATGGCTGCCATGCAGTTGGCCTTTACCTTTACTATTAACCAACTGCTTATATCTGAAGCCTGTAGAAGAGCTGACAGTTGAAAAGTTGATGGTTGTGATATGTTGTTGTTGTTTAGTGTCGTTGAGTCGTTTCCGACTCATAGCGATCCCATGCACAGCAGAACGAAACACTGCCCGATCCCGC